TAAAGGCAGCCATGATATTGCGAGAGTTCTGACACAACCTAACGCAGTTCGGGGGGGGGGTACTCAGCTGTGTCTGTGTATCCCTTCCCCAAGAAGGCTCAGGCTCAGAGCGCAGACGACCACAGTTGCCAAAAGATAGTCCCGCAAATAAGTATAGTCCCTTCTGAGCCTAAGCCTTGATCGGAGGAAAGAGTCTCCAGGCACTGGAAAGTGGTCCTCCCTAATTAGTGCCACGACCTGCCATAACTGTTCAGACTTTTCTGTAATGACCCGTACCATTGTGGAAGAATCGCGAATGGATGACTACCGTCTAGCCATACAGGAGCGCACTGAGTATTTGCTTTGATGATTTCTTTTCTCCACTCCACGTCAATGTCGTCGTTAAGATCAAACTGAAAAAAAAACATTTTGATGTTAGCGAGGAAGTTACGAGGGGGAAGGGGCACGCAACGGCAAATCCAAGCCACACCCTTTCTATTCTGTTTTTCTGTTCGTCTGCGCCCTCCGTCAAGATAGTGATTTGCTTACTAGTTCACTGTTTGTGCGCTGGAGAATGCAGACAGCTAGAGTGGGAGAGGAAAATCTTGCTGCGTGCCTCTTCTAGCTTCATTACCACTTACCGAAATTTTTTTGTAGGCCGTCTACCAGGATACATCTCGTCCGGTGGGGGCACGCCTTTATTCGGTGATGTATGACGAATGACTAGGATTCGTTTGATTGACGTTACCTGAAAGAATAGTGAAAATCATAGGGTTGGAACTACAGTGTTTCGCTGCTGGAGAAATTGGCTATCCTGAAAGAAGTCATATGTTTGGCGCAATACGGAGTGTGTTATGCGATGTCAAGGCAGAGCGAGGTCGTTTTCGTCGCGCCACCGCAACGCGGTTTTCCTGACCGACACCCTCTTTGCTCACCTGCGCCTTGTTGACAGCGTCATCCAGTTGTTTTTTGATTTCAATAAGATCATGTCCTTGCCAAAATGCGTCCACAGTGACGATGAGCCTTGGACACGTTGCATTGATAAGCTCCGTTAGTTGGGACGTCGTTGCTGTCACAGGATTCTGAAATTGAATATTGAATATAAGGCATCCAAGCGTTTGCATTCAGTAGAATGAGCAAGAACAGAACATTCCGAGGTGATCAGTTTCCGGGGTCAGCCGACAAATAATTTAGTGGTCTTAGTGCTCCCAAACGCGTTTGGTACAAATTGCCCAATCCAGTGGAAGGCTTTACTGGCCCGAACGGCAGAGTCGGACCCCGCACCACGCGCTTTGTAATCGCTACCACTTATCACGACGTCTCCCCCGCCCACATAAAAAGAATAGGGCTTCAGCTGTAAGTCAACCCTTTTTGGGATGTGGCTGGATGGACTCTGCTCTCATTCAGAATCAAGGGGGCCTAATGAAAGCCATATGCCCTACACGATGACGCGCGGGTTCTGAACGATGCTCAGATCAGTGTTCATCCTCTCACGAGAGACTTTTACCGACCTAATCGGAGAGAAGAAGATCTGTTGGTTCAGGTGGGAGCCCCAGATACACGCCGAAAGGCGCGCGTCTGGCAAGCGGGCCACTTTCCCACTAACCTCCTTCTCACCGCCTATGTGTTTCTTTATTGCCTATTTCAGATGGGGGTAGGGCAATGAAAACTTTACTACTAGTTCGGCTGCGACTAGTTGGGGTTGGTCACAATCGTATGAGTGTCGCGGCGTGAAACGCTTTTCTATCAGTTGGGGGGTATGTGTACAGTTGTAAAACGAGTGATACGAACGATGTGATAACACTCTGCCATTTGACGCTCCAACAATTGGTGGAGACATCCCGCTGACAGCCTCTTCGTTGCAAACAGAATAGACTCTGATTGTATATCGCCAACGCGAAAAAGGCCCAAGAACGATAGAGCTTATATGTGGCTAACGAATCCTGATTGAACATTCTGTAGTGTCAAGAAAGAAGTAAATTACACGAGCTCGATCACGGAACGCACGTCAATGGCGTAGGCGTAACAGTCTGTTAATGTACGATTCAGAGTTAACTGAGATACTGCCATGGGGAGATAAGGCAAAAACGGTCATATTTGAATGCTCGGAGTGGACGGAACCATTCGAATTCAAAAAGATCCTACAGTATACAGACAAGCTCGATTCGACTTGCCCATCAGCATAATGGAGTTGATGAGTTGTGAAGGAGTAAGTAGGGCTTTTGTAAGAGCGGAGTCAGGAAAGAATGAACCGGGGATAAAGTAGAGTGAAAATAGCGTCTGTCCTGTAATTTGATGACGCGACTTTTCTTCATAGCTTCGTTTGCGCTGGGCCTCATAAAAATTGGGTTTAGGGAGGAAGTATGTTTAACCGTACTTGTTTAGCCCTACATCCTACCGGCTCAGAAGGCGTTGTTCCGAGAGTCTGGTCTTACCTCTCCTACAAATTCTCTCCTAGAAACATCTTGTCGACCCAGAGGCAGGCTCATCCCGCGCACCCGACATCACCCCTAATTGCGACGATATCAACTATGATTACATAGACACGCCCTCTCCATGCGACATGATATGGGCTATTTACTTGACATAGTTACCAGTCGAGCTGTAGCTGTTGCTACCAATGAGGCCACATGTAGCCCAAGACTATCGTCTGTGTGGTGATAGTCGGGATTTAGGTTAGTTACCGTAATATCTCCCAAGAAAGAACATCTACTAACCTACTTCAGACTTGGTGAAAGTTGGGAGTATGATATAGTACAAAACGACTCTGAGATCGGATGAGAAAAACCCACAATCATTCGTTACCGGTTGTGTTTCTAATAGTACTGACCGTTTCACAGTAGTCCTTGAAGACGTTGGCGATTTTGTTTGTCAGCACATCGACCACATCCCATGAGAGATCGGCATAGTCATGAACGCCATCGTCCCAGAAATTTCCGTCCCTGAATCTATCAGTTACAAGGAGAATGCTCTATTTCAAGCAGAGCACGTCGTCAGCTGGGATTTTCCCCAGGGGTCGTATTCGGCCTGTGGAAAAATTCGTCTGATTGCTCGTTTTCCAGTTTTGTTTCGCTATGCCCTGCCGACCGTTCAAAAAGAAGTTTTTCGAGTGAATTTGGTAAGTGATCTCTCGGTTGTGGGAGGGGCTCCCAACGCCTGGACGTGCTCAAACTTCAGTCCTATGAGCCAGCGCCTGTTCGTGCCCTTGAAGTCCGGCTGCGACATATGGCGATCGACACAATTATACGAAACATTAGTTGTTGGCTGAAAAGTGGAGAAAGCAAGATGTGGAATTGTAGAAACCAGTCCATTACTTTACCTGTGAAAAAGTAAAAGATAAGTTCAAAATGTTAATTTAATGGCTTTGTGGGTTGCGCCATGTCCATCTTTCTCTCTCGTACATGGGATGAGAAAGGGTCGGCTATGCTAAGCTATTTTGAAAGTTCAAGTAATAGTCCCCGTTTGAAGGTGTGGGGCCATAAGTCACGAGATTGCCCCTGTATGGACTACTGCTCAAAATTTTGGCAATAATTACTAGGATGTATGTGAGCTATAACATTATGTTTTGTGAGAGAACCAGTATTTGTTTGAAAGAAATTCGCCATGTCCGGCGAGCAGCCTTGTTGGATAGCCGAGGGGAGGGTAGACTCATAATCACACTCCTGATCACGGAGTTCGATCCGAGCAAAAACCTGCCTTGCAAAAATTGCCCAAAAATGCGGGACGATACCAGCCGTTTCAGGACCTAGTGTCTAGAAAACCGGCTGATGGAGGAACCCGTCACAACAACCATGACAAGTCGCAATAGAATCAGTGTAAAAGCTAGGACGTCACCCGGAAGTGGCGCGCAGAACCCTCGCCCGAGTTCTGTGGTCAGTATGCCTAGCGACCCTGCGGACGGCGCCGGGGACCAACGCCCTAAGGAGAAGAAGAAGAAGGCGAGCAGCCTGCTTTGGGATAAGCGGATTTAACAAGGCAAGCATGATGGACGGGCAAGTCCTATGGCATATTTTGGACAGGGATTATTTGCGCCTGTTCCAAGGGTGTGTTACTGAAGACTAACTGTAATGTGGATATGTCATTAGCGTTTCCTTGCTGTTCTCGGCAGCGGTTGTGTTGTAAGCTGACCCATGCAGTCCTACTTTTTGACAAACTTTTTCTAGTTGTGTATACGATTTCTATATGATCGCATAAAATAATTTCTGCAGAAATTCCAAAAAGAAAGAAAATGTCCGCAAACTCTTGGTCGAATAGTTCAGCAGAGGAGAAATGTTGTTTCACTGACGATTCCGTGGAGGAACCCATGGTGAGTTTGTTTGATATTCTCTTAATTGAGTGTTTAGTTTACGTTTTTTCATGCGCAATCTTCATATTGCAGGAAAAATGCCACCCCAATGCCTACCCGTATGGCAACGGGTGGACATCCTGCGCGATCAAGCTTCAGCAAGAAGAGGCAGAATGCCTCCGATTGGCAGCGGAATATCAAGCAATGCGTCAGCGGAATAGCGCGGATGAGGCTCGCAGGCTGCACGGAGTCTGCGCGGCTGCCGACGACGAATGAGAGGGCCGAAAAAGCAGTGAGTTTGAGTTGAACGACGGAGAAACTTGCATATATATACACAACCGCACATTCCTCCTTTGGATTGTGTATATGTATTCAGGAGAATACGGCTTCTGCGGACCGAATATTACCGTGGAATTGAACGTGGGTCTGCGGGTCCATGCCGTCCAACCCGCCCTCCCGCTCGGAGGCCTTGGCCTTCTCACGTCGTTGTTAGTGAATGAATGCTTTTATCATTTCACCAGCCTTCACACCTGCGATACGTTCTCTCCCCATTCAATCTCGTACTACAACAACTATTGTTGGAAGCGATGACCGGCGGGATGCCTGCGAGAAAAGCTCGAACTCACAGGATTGATACTCAAGAAGCTCGAGGACAAGCTTACTGTAAGGAATGGAGATGGTGCGGTTCTACATCCCACACTCATAATTTGGCGTCTTTAACCTTGGCTCGGCTTTGCCAAGCCTCCTTTTCTTTTTCCCCTTTCACCTTTCTGTAACGTATTGACTGTATAATAAACGTTTTCCAAGGTTCAGTGTTCATGTGCGGCTCCACCCATCAGTAATAGGCCTGCGGAACCTATCATCTGATAGAGAAAGGAATGAAGCGCAGCCAGACCAGCTTTTCTACCAACTGTTTTCGACTAGGATGATACTAATCGGCGGGAATGACCTTCCTGGGTGTCCACGCTAAAATACACCCTCTCATGCTCTCTCGCTTGCAGGTATAATGGCTGTAACTTCCGAAGGCTCTAAGTGCGCTAAGAAATCACTTACAGATGACTCGTTGGCTTCCTTGTTCCAGTAAGACTGTATCCATTAGATGAAGTGGCCCTAAAAGGAGGTGCACGGATGATTCAATATCGAAACGTTCACGGCCCATGCGCAAAATAAAACTCGGCGCAGTTCGGCGACTGGGGGGGGGGGGGCATTTTGCACTTTCGCTGCTTCACTAGTTCCGGTTTACAAGTCTCACTCTGGTGAAACCTGTGAACTCTTGTGAAGCTGGAGCAAGCTCGTCGAGCCACCATGGTAGAACCTGTCAACTCTTGTAAGCTCATGAAATAGCTCTTTAGGTGGCTCAACAAGTCGATGGGGAAGCAGCAAATGCTCCTCCGTCGCCGAGCTGGCCCGAAAACGCTACTAACGAAGGAAGGGCAGTAGGTAGAAGTGGCCTGAAGTGAAATGTAAGGCGTCCACTGTGATTCCGAGAGGTGATAACACTTCTATCTTTATTATCTGCGACGGACCTCCAAAGGAAGCTAGGGAGATTTTAGGAAGAGTTCGCTAAAGTTTAGTACTCATTTCGAGCGTGAAACTGCTTCAAACAAACAGACAACAAGGCCAGCGGCACTATAGTTCAGCTTCGATATGCAATTGCACCCAGGAAAGTCGCACTGCGTTTGAGTACGCTCCCTTAAAAGAGCCTCTGTGCTCTTTTCAAGAGAGGTCCGCAGCAGATATTCAAGGCGAACTCCCATTCGACATCCAAGAAACATCAGATAGTTTTGAGCTACTAGTTCGACTTCCCATGCTCCCCCTCCCCCTTTTTTGGCAAGTTTTCTAATGAACAAAGCAATCTCGTAGTGCAAAGATTTCAATAAGGTGAACCGATAGTGATGGGACTCAGTAGTCAGAAGCAGTAGCACCACAAGTACCACAAGTATGGCAGTAAATAAGGTTAATCAGAATCAGATAGTACCCACAAGTACCACAATGGCAGTAACAATAAGGTCGCTAAAAATGCTTCAGTTTTAAATAGAAGAGGAGGGATAGAAAGATTGGCATCGACTTTTTCCGACTTCTGAAATAGTTGAGAACGAATCATACGATGGATTCACGCGCAGAAGGCATTTGGCTCATGACGAAGGACTGATACGCTCAATATGAATAGCGAGCTCGTCCTTGGTAGATAACTACCGTAATTCTCCCGATGAGACTAATTATCGGTTACAAGGGCCAGATGAGTGCCTCAGTTCTATGGTTGACAGAATTTTGGTTATGTCAACAATGTCTGGGGTTCCAAAGTAAGTTCCGAAGTCT